ATACAGATTTGAATAACTTGATCAATGATTAGAAGGATAAAATCATACAGGCACACTTTGCTGTTGTTAGATGCTGCCAAGTCTGTTCTGATTTACAGCGACGTGATAGAGCAGGATAGCCCCGTAGAGTCGGTAATCTTCATGGAAGAGAATTGCTAGGTCTTCCTCTTGCAGAGCTGTTGGGTGGATTCGAATTGACAACCTTTGAGTTCGCAACCAAGAGTTAAATCGTTATACTACCAAGACTCCTTTCATAAACACATATCCAGACTGAAATACCAAAATATTAATCTCTTTGTTCTCTAGTGCTGCTATAACAAAAGCAACATAAGTGGATGGCTTTAACAAGCAGAAAACTCTTCTCTCACAGTTTGAGAGTGTAGACGTCGAATTCATCGTGCTGGCTCTAGGCTCTGGGGAGAGGCCTTTGTGTCCTTTCAACATCTGTGGACTCACTGTACCTTGGAGCTCTCCACGTGTGTTGGCCTCAGTCTTCTCTGGGTCTAGGAAGCCCTTAGTACAGGGACCCTGAGTCCAAAGAATACCCCCACTCCCTGTTCTTTCTTGGTGGTATTGAGGTCTCTTCCCTGTTCGAGTCTCTCTCCTCTTACCTCTTGTAAGATTTAAATGAGAAAAAAAAAGATGGAGACCACACCCCAGAGAAATGTCCCTCACATTGGATTAGGGATATGACTTGAATAAGGGTGTAACATCCCATCCTAATTCTCTTACTACTGATTGGCTGATCATATCAGATCACATTCTGGAGATGACTGCATCATTACATAACTGTTGAATTACACCTTACATAACTGCCCAAGTACATCATTGCATAACTGCCTAACAACAGAGAATTATGGCCCAGCCAAGTTGACACGTATTTTGGGAGGACACAATTCTATGCATGACAGTTCACAGCAGTCATCTCTGGGAGATTACAACTCATTTAAAAATGTTTTTCTTTGTGACTCTTTTTATTTTCTAGATCCCTTGAGGTAGCATGATGTCTAAAAGCACCCCTGGGGCACTTGTTAAAATTCTGATTCCTGATCTCCTCCCCTAACCCCAAAACCAAACCCGTCACCATGGAGTCAGTTTGGACTCATAGCCACCCTACAGGGCAGAGTAGAGCTGCCTTACATGGTTTCCAAGGCTGTCACTGGAAATAAAAAAAAAAAAAAAAAAACAGACGGCCACATTTTTGTCCGGTGAAGCAGCTGGTGGGTTGGAACTGCTGACCTTTTGGCTAGTGGTCAAGCACTTAACTGCTGCCCCACCAGAGTTCCTGCCCCTTCTCTAAGGCAAAACAACAAGAAAAAAAACCCAACCTCACTGCTGTAATGTAAATCAGAACCTCTGGATCCTTTAGAAAGGGGTGCAGGTGATCGATCCCTAGACACCAAAGTGTCAGAGTCACTGCTCTCGAAAGAGCATACTTCATTTTCACAGTGTCACAGAAACTCTTCCTATAGTACAAATTCAAAGACGTGGACAGCAGGAACTGAAAAGACTGGATGAAAAGCATGAGTTACCATGATGATCTGCTACTTCTTGGTGACTGACCACACCTTGATGGTGAGGAATATTGTAAAAGTGCAGCAGGACAGTTTGAGGTCCTCCAGAGAACTTCTTCTCGACCGCTTGCTTTATACAAAAAGAGAGATAATAGAATGTAATCATTCATTGAATGAGAAATGGATTTCCCTTTGGCACAGTAGAATTTATCTCAGCCTCTTTTCATGTGAGCAAACATAGATCATTTTAATGATTTCTCTGAAATGTAATTAAAATCTGTTAAACATTACCATCTCCACCAAGCAGCACTGGTTATCCTAGTCTCAAATTCATGCTAGTAGCTCAACACTTGTCAAAATAAAGAAACTCTTACCCAGGAGGGATGCAAAGGGTTCCTAAAACCTGACTTCTATTTCTTTCCTTTACTTTGCTCTTAGTATTAAACTAGAACAGCTGCTTTCTAGATGATTTTCTATGGTACAAGAACTCTTTCTTTTTGAAGTTTGTCCCATTTTGAGGCCCAAGCAACTGAGCAGAAATTGTTTTAGATATTTGTTATGATGCATATGATTTCTGCACTTTGAAGAAGTATTGCTTTTGATAAGTTGTTCTTTTGTGCCTTTAATCTTTCATCTGGGAGACAGAAGGGCAGACAGCCACATTCAAATAGCTGATGCCTGTGAATTTGGAGAAAGGTTTGGGGAGAAGGCCAGCAGAAACAGAGGCATTTGCCTCCCATTGACTTATAGCTTCTGGCACTTCTACAAAGGTAGCCATAGGGGAGCAGGGCTGCAGGCATTCCATTTCAAATGTCAGGACATTTGGCACAAACATCTACATTGGCAAGTTATTGGCACAGATGTTCGTAGTTACTGCCTGAGCCTTCAAATGTACTACTTACATATAAAAGCAGCGTTAAAATGACTGTACAAAACGAGACGAGAACGATGTAAGCAGAAAGACGTAGAGGAGCACTGGACCGGCTCAGGCCAGGTGTGCGACGTGAGGCAAGGTAATTTTTGTGATACTTTCCACCTGACTCCATACCCCACTCCACTCCTGCCAATGATGTCAGATTATACTCCAACCTTATTACTTCCCCATTACCAGTTACAACTCATGGCCAGCCCATGTGTGTCAGAGTAGAACTGGGCTCCACAGGGTTGTCAGTGGATGATTTTTCAGAAGCAGATTGCCTGATCTTTCTTCTGAGGCTCCTCTAGGTGAACTCAAACCCCCAACCTCTTGATTCACTGCAGAACTGTTTATATCACCCACGGTCTCCTATTACTTCCTATAGTATTTTGTTACCCATCCATTTGCCCCTAAGCCTTTTTCATGGAAGACCATATTGCTAAATGTTCTTTATTGTGTGGAGTTGGGAGGTGTGGGGGGTATGATACTGAAGTGGACAAGCAACCAACCTGGACTTCACTGGATGAAGGAATGAATGCCAGGACTTGTCCTTATATAAATAGTACTGGGAGAACTTTCTCCTGGACACCTGACACCTTGGTAGAAATCTTGCATGTACCTGGCAGCCCCATGCTGCCCCCAAGTGGCCAGGAGTCGTCACTGCATACACCTGCCGACAGCCTTCTTGGACAAGGTCTCATTCGCTCTAAACAACCAATCAACAACTTAGCTAACAGTGAGTGTCTACATTTCTAATCACAGATTTTTCCTTAAAATGGTAACAGTTAACACGGCAAGTGTTGTTGTTGCTGTTAAGTGCTGCCAAGTCTGTTCTGACTCATAGTCTATAGGGTTTCCAATGAGCAGCTGGTGAGTTTGAACCACCAACCTTGAGGATCAAACTGACCTTGCGGTACTGCGCTTATCCTACAGTGCCACACCAGGACTCCTAGGCATGTGTGTTATCTCTCAATTCGTTACTTACCTTCCTGGCTAAAAGTCATGAAATTCTAACTGTGGAATTTTAGTCAGCCCACACAAAATTGGGAGGCTATGTTTCTACCTCAGAAAGTGGGCCTTGACCCCCAACCTACTGTCCTGGTGTGGCACTGTGGGTTAATGCGCCACACTGCAAAGCTGTTGGAACTGCAAGGTCAGCAATTCAAGCTCACCAGCTGCTCCTCGGAAACGCTATACAGGGTCGCTATGGGTCAGAACTGACTCTACGACACTCAACAACAACAACAACATGATATGATTGAACTTTGGGAGTCTGCTTTTGTCAGATAGTTTCCTCAAGCAAAGACTTTGTGTCTCATCATCTTTGCTCTTACTTAGACCGGCAGAATGCCCTGTATGCACTATGTTGTTATTGTTCAGTGCTGTAGAGTCAGTTCCAACTCATAGCGATACTTATAGGGTTTCTGAGGAGTGGCTGGTAAGTTTGAACTGCCAACCTTGTGGTTCAAACTGACCTTATGGTCGAATGCTTGTCCTACAGTGCCACACCAGGACTCCTGTATGCACTATAAAAGATTCTAAAAATATTGAGTGGCTGGGTGCACACCCAAGATATGGACGTAAGTGTTAATGGGCTTCACCTCTCCCTCTTTTCTCCAGTACTTCCTTTGTTCCTTTTCTTTCCCTTTCTTGTGATTATCAAGTAATCCATGGCAGCTGCCTACATGACATTTGGGACAAAAAAGCATGAGGAAAATGTGTGAGTTCAATCAATCACCATAGTCGTTGTTGGTAGAAGCCATTAAATTTTCTCCAACTCATTGTGATCCCATGTACAAGGCTGCCCCATTCTGCACCATCCCTGTGACAGGTTGCAGATCATAGCATTGTGATCTATACAGTTTTCTTTGGCTGCTTTTCGAAAGACAATCACCAGTCCTTTCTTCCTCGTCTATCTTAATCCAAAAGTTCCACTGAAACCTGTTCAGCATCATAGTTACAAACAAGCGTCTACTGACAGATGAGCGGTGGCTGCACATGAAGTGAATTGGCTCCAAATTAATTACAGGTCTGCTGCATGGAACCACTAACCACTAATGATTCCATAAGTCACAGTGGTAAAAAGCATTAGGCTGCTAGGCAGTTCAAAGCCACCAGCTGCTCTGTAAGAGAAAGATGTGGTAGCTTGCTTCTATAGAGATTACAACCTTGGAAAGCCTACGGGGTCAGTTCCACTCTGTCCTGTGAGGTCTCTATGAGTCAAAATTGATTTGACAGCAACAGATTTGGGTTTTGGAATCTTAGTGTGGCGATGTAGGATGAGCACTGGATTACCAACTGAAAGCCATTCCTCAGAGATCTTACATATATATAAGGTTGCTTTGAGTTGGAACCGACTCGACAGCACTTAGCAACAAAAATGGGTGAGTAGGACAAACACCAAATGATATCCCTCCCACGTTGGTTTGAATATGACAAAATTAAGTGGCACAATTAATTGTTGCAACAGTTTACTCCGACTTTCTGCATGAGTGTCGATGTTTAATGAGTGACTGAAATTTTGCGCTACAATTGGCTGTTCTAACTTCATTATTTTCCATATTTTCCAGAGCATCCTGGAGCTGGAAAAGGAAAGAATCCAACTTTTATGCAATAATTTAAACCAGTACAACCAGCATGTTTCTGTCTTCTGTCAAACCTTGAACACAGTGAGTAGTGACGATTCTATTTCTGATCTGCATGATAAGAATTGGCAGGGGGGTGGAAGACCAGAGTAGATAGGGGAACACTGGGACAGGTTTGCATGGGCTACATGGGACAGAGGTAAATAGTGATGCATGCTCAACCTTGGAACAACAGGGCTTGGAGCATAGTCTGCAGAGGGGAAATAATATTAAGATGTTCGACTGTCTTATGAATATTAGTTTACCTTGCCTACTACTGTAAAATAGACACTTGAGTGGGATAGAAAGGAATGTCGGGAAACATGATTATAGAAAGCTTGTAAGTCCGTCTTCAGCCTATAAATGATTGGAATACCTAAAAGGGGTTCTAGAACTTGTCCAGTGAAATAGGCTTCTTGCAGAGCCTTTGCAGTGGAATCCTGAGCCCCATCCAGAACCTTTTGAGGTGGGACATTCCCACTAGAAAGGCCAAGCAGACCAGCCTGGACCAGCTAGAGCAACAGAAGACACAACTTCAAAGAAAGATCATCAGGAAAAAAAACAAAACAAAAAATGTCAGTATGATTGGCTACAACAAGAACAAGCAAGTTGTTGCCAGGAAGTTATCAAGGCAAGCAATTTGGTCCCTTCAGGGCAAATTCCTCTCCAAGACTGAAACTCAAAGGGAACAAATGAGCAGACATGTAAACTTGCTGGGACCACATTGGTCTACTGGTGAGTGGAAGAGAGGGAAAGGCAGCAATTAAGAAATAGGCTGAGTTCAACCATGTTCCATAGACACCTGTTGACCTGGAGATGAGAGAGAGAAGAAGAAGGGATGGTTGATGCAAAGTGTGGTGAGACCTGGGGATGCCTGAGCCCATGGACAAAGATATAGCCACAGAGGGCCAGAGCTGAGAGTAAAGCATCCAGCTGATATGAAGTAAGGGGAGACACACAAGAACACTCCAACTTGGCAGATAGTACCCATTTGACCTCGCCTTGATGGCTTGATAATCAGAACTTGACTAAAGGAAGATTAAAAAAAAAAAAAAAACCAACAATTTTTGATAAAGGAAACAAGTGTAAATTGCTGCAGTTTGATGAACTTGACCTATACTTATGGATGTAGTAGCTCAAAATACCAACAGAGAAGGAAGGAGTCTTCACATCAAGTATCAATGCTATACCCTCTGTATATAGGGTAGATAGGGACAGACAACTTAGACATTGGCTACCTAAAATGAGGGGGCGATAAAGGCATGAAGTGATTGGCTTACCAGTTTTCAAAAGGGAGTTTAGTTTCAGAGTGTGCGGGGAAAGATAGAGTCCCCACTGAATAGTTTTCATCTTGTCTAGATGGGTCTGGTAAAAAGAAATGGGGGCAAGATTCTTATTATTCAATAGCGAGTAATTGTTATCATGACTAGTTGCAACGGTCACACTGTAAAGGTTTCTGGACTGTAAGATTAACTACTCCCTGTTTTGTAATAAAAATGAGGAGTAGTTAATCTTACAGTCCAGAAACAAAGGACCCTAACATCACACAGGGAGAAGAGCACAAGCAGAATGTGAGACCCTATCCAGAGAAGCAGTGACACCAAAGATGGAGGCATAGATGAGGACATGGAGAGAGGGAGCAGCTGAGGTCTCTAGACTCATAGAAAGAGAGGGACTGAGTGCTGGCGGCCAGGAGGCAGGCTTGCAGAATGTGCCATTTGGTTGTTTAAATTATTATATCATCCTGAGTGTTTTTGTGTACACTTCTCACCCCAAAAAAAACAGGGAATGGAAGCAAATATGGTTGAATGATGATGCACAGAGAAGATTGTAAGCATTGCAATGAAACAATGGTGTAAAGCCAATGTTCTCCTATGTAATCTATCCCTCAGTTCACAATAAAAATAAAAAGAATTAGCAGGAAACGTGTATTCAATTCCTTTTTCTGCTTTCCTTGGCAATGCAGTGCCATTCCCAGATCCACTGTGCCATCAACAAGATAGATTTCGAGAGAGATATTCATTCTTTAATAGAAGAAGCTGCAATTTTGCCTACAGAAAAGAAATCCGAGTTCCTACTAATCGATTACTTTGTAAGTACTTAAGGGAAGGAAGTTATATTAATGGAAACAAACTAGTCATGTACTCATTTTGAGAGGATAAAAATGCTATAATCAACTTGTTTTTAAAATAAAGGTAATTAACTTTCGTTGTTCATATAAATTTAGAAACAAAAACAAGGTGTATGATTTACAAATTGGGCAATGGAAACATGTCCATCTTTTCTGGAAAGGAAAATGTCAAGTAAGATTTTAAACTGTATCTTCCTACTGTTTTCTACAACAATAACCCCAGAAAGACATGGTTCATGATGCCTGTATTAGTTGTTATTGCTGTGTAACAAATTATCTTCAGACTCAGCAGCTTAAAACACACATTTAAATCTCACTGTGTATGCAGGTCAGGAAATCACCTGAGCTGGATGAGTCTAGTTCAAGTCTGTATCCTCACAAACTGCAATCAAGACTTGTAATTACCACAGAGTTCTACTAGGGGAGAATCCATTTCCAAGCTCACTCACATGGCAGGTGGGCAACATCTGCTTCTCATTGAGCTGATGTCCTTGGCCAGAGACATCAGTTTCTTGCCATGTGGGGATCTCATAACACAGTGACTTGCTTCCCCCAGAGCAAGTAATCCAAGAGAGAGCCAGAGTGTCCAACAGGGAAGCTGCAGTCTTTATAGTCTTTTATAGCTTAATCATGGAAGTGACAGCCCATCACTCCTGCTATATGCTGTTAGCAGCAAATGCACAGACTTCTGGACCTCTGCTATAGACATGTTCAGCCACATCTCTACCCCAATCCTATCCTTTTTTAAATTATATCCTTTTCCATTTAACCATTGAAATAATGCACATGAAAGCTAAGAGGCTGGTAGTGAATCCTCATATCCCCACTCTAGTCTTCAAATCTGGCTAGAGCTATGGAGACAATGTTTCCTTTCACTATTTTTGCTCAAGCAACTAGTCTATGCATTGTTCCTGGTACTTTTCACATAGCCTTCCCTCTGTCCTTTGCTCACATTGTTTATATGCCTAGAATACCCTTTGCCCTCCTTCCAGTTGATCAGAAAGAGAGCTGATTAAGTTTTCTAGCCTGTTTAAAGTTTTCCAGCCCAGTGGATCACACAATTTCTGTCTGCACCATTTATGCTGCATTGAATGAAGGTTGGCCTGCATTGCAAGTTCTCTTTAATGTTGTGTTTCAAGGCTAAACAAAACAATAAACCTTCTCTGTACAGAATGTGTTTTAGCTCCTATGTTCCCAGTTCCTAGCCAATACAGCACTCAGTAAACATATGGTGCATGTACATATATAGGTCATTAAAGGACTCTAACATGAATAAAGATTAATTAATACCCAACCAGCTGTCATTAAGTAGGTTTCAATTCATGGTGATCTCATATGTGTCAGAGTAGAATTGTGCTCCATAAGAGTTTCAATGGCTGATTGTAATTATTTTAGTAGATAGTCAGGCTTTTCTTCTGAGGCACTTCTGAAGTGAAAACTCAACCCTCTAACCTTTCCATTAGCAGCCGAGCATATTAACCATTTGCACTACCCAGGAACTCCAGAGCTAAATAAGAAGTAATAAGTACCCCACAGGTAGACTTATTTATTAAATGTGTGCAGTAGGATCAGTACTGGACTGCAAACTACAAGGTCAGAGGTTCAGCCCCACCAGCCGCTCCTCAGAAATCCTGTACACAGTTGTTATGAGTCAGAGCTGACTCAGTGGCACTTAACAACACCAATGTTATAAATAAGGCTCTATGAGAGAAAATGTTCTGTTATATACTAAAGGGGAAGGGGACATATTCTGATTAATCAAGTGTGGGACAGTGAAACAATCTGTGTAAAACCAAAAGTTACTGTAGATTAAAACTTGCTTTTAATTTTATTTTTTACAAAAAGTAAGAATTAAAGTTAGTGAATGGAAGCACCTATACAACTGGAAATAGCAATGCAGACTTTTTTCTTCATAAGTTGTTAAACTTTTTTTTCTTCCCTTTTTCTAAAGGAGGAAGATCCTAACAATGCAATGGATAAAGAAAGACGGAAGTCTTCAATAAAATCAAAACTGTTGAGATTGCAAAGAGATATTGAAAAAGCCTCAAAAGACAGAGAAGGTATGCAATTAAATATTTAATGACCCAATCATGGAAGGTTTTATGCTGAGGAGTTTCACTGAGCATTAGAATTATTTCTACTTTTGCTGATTGGCTCAGGGATCATCTCGTTTGTATGACTAAGGAAAAATAAATAGAAGAAAAGAAAGCAGAAAATTTTAACTGACATTTTGGTCTATTTACAAGAACTATGTAAGAATTAATGCCATCCTGGTGTGGCGCTATAAAATAAGCACAGGAGTACTGAGCAAAAAATCAGAGGTTCAAATTAACCAGTGGCTCCTCAGAAGCCCATATAGGGTCTCTGTGAGTCGGAAACAAGTAACCAGCACTTAGCAACCACAACAATCTAAGAATTAAGGAACCCTGGTGGTATAGTGGGTTGAGTTTGGGATTGCTAACCTCAAGGTTATGGTAAAAAGCCACTGGCTGCTCCAAGGGACATAGCTGAGACTGTCTACTCAGCTGGAGTGCTAGCTGACAGTGCTAGCTGACAGTGGACAGTCAACCTATTCTGTCCTATAGGGTATCTGTGAGTCAGAATTGAGTCGACAGCAGTGGGTGGTGGTAGCAGAAGAATTATACTACCACTTTCAGAAATACAGCATTTTTATTGTCTTGGGAATAGGCAGGAATGAGGATCAATTCATTTAATTTCAAACATGACAAACCTAGTATGGTAAAGGTTTCCTTCTTTTATTAAAAGCAAAATCCAACTAACTTTCTAAATGATGTAAAAATTATTCCTCTCCAGTCCTATGCTCAGAAGTCAGGCATGTTAAGTCTAAAGTGGTGCAGATGTTAAAAATCACATAACATCGGAGTATGTGGGTAGTTTGTTTTATGTAGTCCGAAATAAACATATCACATTGTAATACTTGATAGCAAATCCAAGACAGCAAAATGTTTAGAAATGTAAGAAGGAGCCTAACATTGTGGTAATGTCAGGAACGACCTAACATTGCGGGTCAACAGAAAGGAATTCAAAGCTTGATCTTGGGGAATAACAATTAGAACAGTTGAAGCATCAGCACTTCTCAGTGCTCATTAGATGAAAGTAAAGACAAATGGACTGTCATCCATTCAGTGAGATTTAGTAACGACCGACCTCATACAAAAACCTCCGCAGCCACAAAGTAAAGACAAATGGACTGTCATCCATTCCGTGAGATTTAGTAACGACCAACCTCATACAGAAACCTCCGCAGCCACAAAGTAAAGACAAATGGACTGTCATCCATTCCGTGAGATTTAGTAATGACCGACCGCATACAGAAGCCTCTGCAGCCACATAGGGTTCAGACTCCCTCTGAGTGTGACCGACTTCCAGCCGAGTCACATCAGGCCATCATGGATGGGTGATTGAGAGCATGATTCCATTTCAGGCCTGGACCGAATGCTAACTGCAGACTCCAGCAACTTCTCCTGCTCTGATGGAAAGAGCCAGAAAGACATGGCAGCGTTAATGAATGAGGTAAATATTTGCAGAGTGCAATTGCCTCGTACTATTTTTAGAAAACTTACTTCCTGGCCCATTTCACCTCTGTTTGCCTTTCCTTTCTCATGACATAGAACAATCTAGTCCATTTAGAGGGTCAACCTCTCAACAATTAGGATGAGGGATCTGGAAATCTCCAGCTACCTAGAAATGTTTGCTTTAATGTCCTCCTAGGAAAAGAACTGTGTCTGAAATAGAACCTTGGAGGGCCTAGAAACAAAGTGTACTTTAACCCAGTAAACACAAGTGACATAAAGAAAGGGATCTGCTTTCAGAAAAGCATCTGGATTTAACCCTGGCATTTAAAGGGACCTGGGACCACTCTGGAGTCCCTGGGTTATGCAAATGGCTAAGTGCTGAGCTGCAATTTGAACCCACACAGAGGTGCCTCAGAGCAAAGACCAGGTCATCTGCTTCTGAAAGCATTGTGTGCCCTAGTGAGTACAAGTCTCCTCTGAAACTCCATGAATTGGATTCAACTTGATGGCAATTGGTTTTGTTTGGGGGCAACTTTAGTTTTCTACCCTGATTGAACAAAAACTGACAAAGAAATGACTATAAAATTTCCAATTCAAGGTCAAGACTAGGAAGACATTGGGTATATAGCCTTAGTGTCACTCCTTATTTCTATATGTAAATGCCCCTGAATATTGTTTCCAATGTCCAAACGTGTACTTCAAACTTTCTGGGTAATATAGGAACTCCTTCAAAAAAATCACACTCATTTTAGTGTGATGTTACTCCAGGTCTGTTCACAATACCTCAGTTCACAATATGACTCAATTGGTCAACCTAAAATCTACTTTCTGCAGGCAACATAGACTCTCCTTTTTCATTTCTTACATGAAAATTGAGAAGTTATTCATTGTCACAAAATGCAGATATATAAGGTGGCGCTGTGGTTAGGCGCTGTTCTGCTAACCTTAAGGTTGACTGTTCAAACTCACCAGCTGCTAACCACAGATCATTAGTTCAAATCCACCAGCCTCTTTGTGGGAATAAGATGATGCTGTATAAAGACTTACAGTCTCAGAAATCCTATATAGGGTCACTGTGAGTTGGAATCGACTTGAGGGCAGTGGGTTTGGTTTAGGTTTAGTTATATGTATATATTTGTTATTGTTCTTAAGTGCCATCAAGACAGTTCCAACCCATAATGACCCAGTATAGAGTTTCTGAGGAGCAGCTTGGGAGCTTGAACCACAAACCTTGAGGTTCAAACTGACTTTGCAGCCCAGAGCATTAACCACAGCACCACATCAAGACTTATTCTATATGTATATGTGTTGCACACTAAACACTGGACTTTGAACAATAAGGTTGGGGGATTGAGACTGCCAGAATCTCTGCAGGAGAAAGATGAGGCTTTCTGTACCCACAAAGATTTTAAATGACTCGGAAGCCCTATAGAGTCTTTAAGAGTCAGAAACCAACTCAAAGTTACTTAACAAACTATATATATATATATATATATATATATATATATATACACACACACACACACACACACACCAACGCACACACACACACGGGAGCGTCTTCAAAAAGTTCATGGACAAATGAAATGTAAAGATAATGGAATTTTTTCCATAAACTTTTTGAAGCCCCCAAGTGTACTTATAAAATGGTTTCTTTGTATCCTGTCTTGTCTAGAATAAGGCATATTCAATAATTAAGGCTTTCCTGTAGGGTGCTTAAAGGCATCCTTTATTCATCCAGTTGTGCCTCATTTTCTATAAATTTACTCATATGGTCAAATGAATGTATCCACAGACCAGTTTGAAGCTAGACCTTTTGCAAGCAAATGCCTATAAACTGTCGTCAGTATTAGCAGAACTTGAGCAAAAACCTAAACCCAGACATCCTTGTAGCACCTGCATCTTCAAGTGGAAAGAAAAGGTAAAATGTATGAAGTCTATGTGTTATGTTATGGGTCCTAACTACTAATTGTGGGATTTTAACATATGTTTGTATGTCTTTTAAGCAAGAACTAAACACAACTGAATAATTCCTTGTTTACTAAATTATTGTGAGGGTTTAAAATATTTTGAATTCCTTTGCCTTCCTCTTTGTATCTTAACTTCACATTTGCTTTTATAGTATAAATTCTATACAATCAAAATTTTAGTATTCAAACTAGCAAAAATTGTGAGGTTCTGCATTATTTTTATGTGTTTAGCATATGCATTAGGCTGCTTACCACAGATCAGCAGTTCGAGTCCACCAGCCGCTCTATGGGAGAAAGATGAGACTTTCTGCTCCCATAAAGATTTACAGCCTTAGAAACCCTACACTGGGTTGCTATGTTGGAATTGACTCCTTGGCAAATAGCAGTAGCAGCATCGGATATAATATAGACAATGTTGTTGCTATTGTTAAGTGCCATCAAGTCGGTTCCAACCCATAGGACCCTGTATAGCGTTTCCAAGGAGCAGCTGGTGAGCTTGAACCACTGACCTTGCAGTTCAAATGGCTTTGCAGTCTGATGCATTAACCCACAGCACCATACCAAGACTCCAATATAGACAATGCATGAGTACAATTTAAAACTTCACACACACAGTTTTCAGGAACTGAGGATGAGCATGTGAACATATAAGCATAGTACTGAATTTCATTATATGTCAGAAAAGTGAGCTGTAGCCATCTTGCAATGAAGGATAGTTTTCTTTCAAAGTGGTTCAAGAACTCTAAAATGGTCTCTAACCCTTAGAATTGGAATCATTTCAATTGTATTGAAATGAATTAAATTTTGTACATGTAAAGCTATAAATATTACTGGGCCTAGAGGACCTGGGTGGTACAAACAGTAAAGGCACTCAACTGCTAGCTGAAAGCTTAGAGGTTTGAGGCATCTCAGAAGGTAGGCTGGCATTTACTCCCACCACATCAGCTCTTGAAAGCCTTATGGGGTCGCCAGGAGTCAGAGTCAACTCAGTTTTGAGTTGTAAGAAGTATACATAGGTCAGAGTGGCAAATACAGGGTATACAATATAGTAATTACCTAATTCTAAAAATATTAGACTTTAGAAACAAAAGACTCTAGTCGAGTTTAGACATTTATTAAATTAGATCCCTTAAAATGAACAAATTCCAAAGGAAACCCACCAAGAATTACTTTTTATGACTGTGTGCAATGGCAATGTTGATAAAAATGACTCTTTTGGTTTGTTTTGTTTTTTTACTATTTGAGCAGGAACAGACACATAGTTATGTGCAAATATCTCGGCCTTTTGTGATGAAGAGATTCAAGAATGCTGTGAGCAAGGCTTCTTCTGGTAGGCAGAACAGTCCACGTCCCTCATCATCTTTAGGTACCTCCGTGCCCACAGTTATCTTGGGATGCCACTTATCAGTCCAGCATATTGTCTGTCACATTTCAGTTTTATTTTCAGAACAACCTTGACAAATATCTCAAAGACATTCACATTCTAATGAGGAGAGATTAATTTGTTAGAATTAACTTGCCAGAATCTGTAACTTTATGTGTGTGTGCGTATAACGTAGTGGGTGTACAAAGGAAGCAGGCAGGAAGGAAAAGTGTTTTATAATATGAGGAAGTGCTTCCAATGCCAGATAACCGACATTCACTTCATACCAACAACTTGCAATTTGCTGTCCACACAATCACCTTAAAGCTATTGTGTGGAGCTTGGCAGCTCTCTCTCCACAACTTCCTCCAAACTTCCAAGGAAATCTTGTCCCCTCTGGGAGAAACATGGTAAGCTGGGTGGTTTGTCAGGGTCACACATGGGATTTGTTTATCTATACACAATTACCCTTACTTTCTGAAACACACACATGTCATACACACATGTGCAGATGTACACACAGGTGCAGACACATCAGGTGTCCATCATTTTTCTACTATATATATAATTACCATAACCTCGACTCTAGTTTCTTGACTAGAAACTAGCAAAGAAAAAAAAAGTTCCAGTGAGCCCCAAGACAATATATATTAATGTCTTGTATTCATATTGTTGTTGTTGCTGTTGTTATGTGCCATCGAGTCGGTTCCGACCCATAGCAACCCTGTATAGGGTTTCTGAGGGTGTAAATCTTTACAGGAGTAGAAAGCCTCATCTTTCTCCCGCGGAGCAGCTGGTAGTTTCGAACCGCTGACCTTAAGGTTCGCAGCCCGATTCGTAATTAAAGGGTATTAAAAGGTCACTTTTGCATTGCTTGAGAAGCAGATCCACGAACACTATGAGATGCTGAGAACAGCACATTCCCTCAGCATCCCCTATCTACATTGAATGGTATCACTGGCGAGTGTGTCCCAAAACATGCATGTAACTGATGCATGTAACACACGTTATCTAACTGATGTGTATTGAGTTCATATGGGGAACAATCTTCTAAAGTTGGCATCTGTATTATTATTACTGCTATAGTAATTATTTTCTTCTAACCTACTTTCTGGATCATAATATGGGTCTTGGTTATATAATATTTTTAGTACCATACACATAGTAGATATGTCTTAAGTGTTATTGAATCAAGGAATGGATAACATATAACACTATTAACATTCCTTTTGAGAACATTTCAATATATTTAAACTCTTCTCCAAACTGTTAAATAACTAAAAAGCTTCCAGTCACATCCATCTAGCCTACCAACACAGTATTAATAAATTACAACTTGATCCAACTTTCAGCCTCTGGTGTGGCCCAGCTTGGGAACAATCTCTGCAAAGCCTTATATGCTTTTCAAGCCAGGCAAGAGGATGAATTGAACTTGGAAAAAGGTAAGAAACATTCTCAAATATTTAGATCATCTTTTTTGTTGAGATCTTTAACATGAATAAATCCCTATCTTAGTATTGCAGTTGCCATGTTAAATGAGTTCAAGTTTATACAACTACCATTTCTAGAAGATAAAGATAAAGTATATCTAGTACTAAAACACACACAGTAGTAACAATTAGCAGCTACTCTGCTTATTATATGTGGGAACATGATACAATTTAATCTTCACTAAAAACCTGTTGAAGTCTCCATTGCTAGTTATTCCTATTTTATAACTGAAGAGACGGAGGCCCCTGAAGGATTAAATACTTTTGTCAAAGTGACCAGTGATGGAGGCACAGGAGTTGAACCCAGGCACCCTGGGTCTAGAGTTATGTTCTTAATCACAGTGCCACATTGCTGTAGAATGTCAGTCATATTAAGGCACTAAAGATGTAGTTCTGCCTCCCGTTTTTTTGTTTTTTAAATCTAGACACCCAGGAAGGTGAAATGACTTCTCTCCTGACTTGGTGTAAGAACAAGATCTAGAACCCTGCTCAACAGACTCCCAGCTTAATGCTTCCCAGGAAAGTGTTTGATGGCCAATCTAAGGAATCAGAGTTCCTTCGTTGTTTCACAAATATTTATCGAATATGGAAAGCTATGGGAAGCTATTATGTAATGGGGCATACAGACCTCAACATTACCAAACAAGAAAAAGCCTTTATATAACCAGTTGGCAATTACATTTGTATGCTAAAGCTAAGGCAAAGATTAGGAAATGGAGGGGCGAACCAGAAAAAGCTGTGTCCTAAAAGAAGGCTTACTATCCCAGAGGTAACAGAAATCCAAGGTGGCTTTAAAGCCAAACAATAAGGGCACCACATATCTGTTGTTGACTCGTAGATGCTTCCTTTTCACATTACCAGCCAGACTTCTTTTCTTGTAGCTCAGATATAAGAAAAGGCTAGAAAAAGGGAAGCACAAGGAGGCACTTTCCTACATTCATCTGGGATCAGTGTTGCCTTTACTTAACAGTTTGAAGCATTATTGAAGTGATTGCATTGATCATTATCTTACCCTAAGGTTTGTACAGGTAGGTTGTTGTTATATGCCATTGAGTCAGTTCCAACTCATAGTGACCCTAAGTACTGTCATATTCATATGGTTTTCTGTCATATTCACAATCACTGCGATGTTTGACCCCACTGCTTCAGCCTCGGTGTCAATTCATCTTGTTAAAGATCTTCTTTTTCACTCATCTTCAACTTTTACCATGAAGTCATTCTCCAGGGACTAGTTCATCCTGATAACATGTCTAAAGTACATGAAATTAAGTCTTTCTATCCCCATTTCTAAGGAGTATTCTGGTTGTGCTTCTTTCAAGATCGATTTGTTCATTCTTCTGTCAAGGATATTCAATATTCTTCACCAACACCATAATACAAAGGCATCAATTCTTCTGCCTTCCTTATTCATTTTCTAGTTTTTGAATGCATAGTATGTAATAAGTACACAAGTGAAATTTTGTATGCCTACTTTCTATATGTGAGTACTGGTATGGCACTGTAGGATAAGCACTTGACCGCAAGGTCAGTTTGAAACGCAAGGTTGGCAGTTCAAACTCACCAGTGGCTCCTCAAAAACCTTAGGCAGGATCACTATGAGTTGAAACTAGCTCGATAGCACTTAACAACAACAATTTTCTATATAAATTTAAAAAAACACAGTCCCCAGATGCCATGGTTTGTGTACATCTGGAACTTAAGGGTTCTAAGTTTGAATTACAAAGTTATACAATAAATTATCTCGTTTGTTTTCTCTTCTCAGTTGGCTGAAAAGCCTACTTATGCATTATATTCTATTTAAAGTGATTCTTTTAAATGAAACCAGGATGGTGGAAGTTTAGAAAAGCTGGCAATAAGATTTTAAATCATTCGTTTCAATTCCTGGTAATAGATTTCATCAAACAATCTACTGATCTGAAAGAATTCATTAGAGGGGAAAAAAATTAGACAAAGTAATCTCCTACAAGAACAAATAGTGATTTATGACTAATGAAAAATGAAAGAGGACTAAGCAGTGTCTTTTGTCCTACTGGGGGAAAAATGCAGCAGAAATGAGAGAAAGACTGGAAAATTACATCAGAACGATGGGAAGAAAAGGAAAGTAGCTTTTAGATCTAGAAGGAGACAAATGTTCCTGCTTTGTTGTGCAGAAAGCAGCCAGAAAGGAATCTGTCTTACAAAAGATGGTGCTTAACTAGAGGATTTGGGCCACAGAGTTAAGCTTTAGGGTTATTTATTCGAGAATGGTATTTAAAAAAAAAAAAAATTAAGAGACTTGGAGAAGAGTCATGTGTTTCTTACAAATTCTATTTCTTTGAATCATTGCTTAAAAGCAGTGTTTTCTTCAGATTATGAGGGCATTGCTGGTCTCGTGGTAGAATTGTCACCTTCATGTGGGAGACTGGGTTTGATTCTTGGTGGGCACACCTCATGTGCAGCCAAAGCATGGAGATTTATGTGTTGTTATGATGTTGAACAGATTTCAGTAGCGCTTCCAGACTAAGAGGAAAGTCTAGTCCTATAGTTGGCAACTATCTGATCAAATCTGCAGCTGATCACGGGGTTGCCACAGGACTGGCAGCATTTCGTTTCGTGATACACAGAGTGGCCATTGTTGTTGTCAGTGCAATCAAGTCAGTTCCAACTCAAAACAAAACTGTATAGAGTTTCCAGGGAGCAGCTGATGGATTTGAACTGCAGACCTAGCAGTTAGCAGTCCAGTGCTTATCCTACAGTGATACACCAGGTTTCCAGGGTCAACTCAGTAACAGCTTAAAATACCATCTTCAAGCTGATGGTTTACCAAGGTTACACAAGGTGTTAGGTAACTATATTTCTGTGTAAAGTTTTGTGTTGGGATTTTGGAAGCCAACTGTGATGGAGAGAAGCTGTCTTGTGACGAATGTTATGACAGCAAAGACGCACAACAGACCAAATGATCATGGGCTACAACAAGTGAAACCGTTCAATCATGCACACTGAGAAACAGTTGGGTGATGACTCATTAGCTAATGCAAAGAGAGTTAGGTGTCATTAGAATGTCGTACAATCCATGATTTTCTTTTTATTCAAATTATTTAATGGCATATCACCATAGTCCATTAGCTTACTCTTAGTATTCTCTGCATTGTCTGCTTTATGCACAGTAAGCACTCAAGAAATTCTTCTTCATCCGAATCAAATGCAGAAGATGCTAACAAGCAACTCCTTGAAAGTGGAATTCCCTTTAAAATGGCTTACCCAGTAAGCTCAGTCATGCGCTTAGACTGTGGAGACCCATTTGAAGTTCCAACTAAATATGTTTCCCCTCCCCCAACCCTACAGGCGACATTGTGGCCATACATGAGAAAAAAGAAGAAGGATGGTGGTTTGGATCTTTAAATGGCAAGAAGGGCCATTTTCCTGCCGCGTACGTAGAGGAGTTACCTCCAAATGCTGAGAATACAGCTATGCAGCCATAAAATAAGAATCTGAACACATTGCTTTGGACACTCTGTAAACTCTAAAATGTGGTGCAAATAATGATAAAATTGTGCAATCTTTTCAAGTTCATCTCTTTTTAAATGGTGATGGGGTCATACCCATATGTTACAGCACTTTGTATTCTTGGGGGGTTGTGGGTGGGCAGGGGAAGCAGGAAAGAAGTTCCCTGCTTCCCAGAGTTTCAGAATTCTAAGAGACCTAGAGATGATTCATTACAGCTCCTTGTGTCACAACTCTTATACGTGAAGTCACATAGATGGTGCCAAACTAGAGTTTAGAACTCAGATGTCCTTTTCCTTTGGGCTAGAGTGGCAATAGGATACAGTGGACCTATGAAGAGTCAAGTCAGGCTTGAAAGATGAGGAAGAGCATAGATCAAGTCCAAATCATGTAGCTCAACAGGAACAGAAAGACATGTCAAGGTTAGTGACATAGTTGTGTAGGAATCTACGCCAAGAGGTGGTGCTAGGAAAAGATTGGGGTAATAGGCAGAAGCTATCATGGAAGAAGGGAGTTTCATTCTGAACCAGTGTTTTCTGAGATAATGGCTTCATATAGACTCTGCCCAGGACCAGAATTGTTTTTAGAGTGAGGTTGAGTGTGAGCACAAGAGCAAAGCAGACAGGGAAGAATTAGGAGAGAGACTGTGCCTGAAATTTCATGCCTTCTTGCTCATTTAGAGATTCCATTTGTCAATTCAGAAACAAGGGATTCTTCACTTCTCAGCTAGGTCATGATGAGAAGAATGAATGAAAGAAACTTTAAATGCTGACAGGTCTCAGGCAGTAGCACTTTGGGTTTATAATATTAAAAACAGCAGCTGTGCATAATGCTTTGGGGGAATTACTACAGTTTCCTAGTGCTGCTGTAACAGAAACACCAAAAACACTGAAACAAACATTTATTTTCTCACAGTTCTAGAGACTGAAAGTCCAAATCATGGAGTTTCTCAACCATTTTGATTTCTCCCTTGTGAGTAGTCCTGGATGTGTTCTTTTGGTGTTGACCACATGACACTTGTCTTCCCTGTGAATACATAGACCTCTGTATCTAATGTGCTCTTATTATCATTTGGAAGTGATTAGGTGTAGAACTCTCTAGGTAGAGCTGAGTTCTAGAGCACAGTATTTATGGTAGTATTTATGACTTTGTCATAATTTCTATCCAGATCTAGCTCCTTCATTAGTCAGGCAATTCCATTAGCAAAGCTCTTGATTTGTGCTTATCTACAAGACCTAGCCCAGTGTCTGGTCCTCAGAGACCATGATTTTCAAGGATCTCCCTGCTCTGACCATCTCTGACTATCTTGTCCAACTTCATTTGCCCAACGATTAAACTGAGCTCTGCAATGCGTCACATAGACTTTAAACTGGGTTCTGCAGTGTGTTACGTAGACTTTAAACTGGGCTCTACAGTGTGTTACGTAGACTTTAAACTGGGTTCTACAGTGTGTAATGTAGACTTTAAACTGGGCTCTGCAGTGCGTAAAGTAGACTTTAAACTGGGCTCTGCAGTACGTAAAATAGACTTTAAACTGAGCTCTGCATGTGTAACGTAGACTTTAAACTGAGCTCTGCAGTGTGTAATGTAGACTTTAAACTAAACTCTGCAGTGTGTAATGTAGACTTTAAAAACATACACTTGGCTGTACAGTCTTGAAAGGTTTGGGATAGAAAAATCTGGAGACCAATGTTCACCATCAATACCAACATTCATTGTCAAAATGGAATATTTAAAAGGAAGATCTATGCAGCTTTTTCAAATACCCTAGAAGGGTTAAAAAATGGTTGGGAATGACAGAGACTAGGCCCCCAACTGAGGGAGCAGGTTAGAGTGGAGAGAAGTGGTAAGCATCATCCAGAAAATGCCTCAAATCTGCCTGGAGATTATATAGTCCACTGATGTCAGGCCAAGGTGTTGACTGTAACTTCCGGGCACATTTACTTTTCTGCCAAATAGAGAGTCAGTCCTTCAGAATGTTATACATCACAGTGAAATGAAAATCCATTCCATTACTCTCTTGTCCCCTGGTGGTGGTGGTGATGTGCTGTGGAGTTGGTTCCAACTCATAGCGACCCTATACAAGGTTTCCAAGGCTGTAAATCTTTATAGGAGCAGAAAGCCTCATCTTTCTCCTGCAGAACAGTTGATAGTTTCGAACTGCTGACCTTAAGGTTTGCAGCCCAATTCATAACCACTATGCTACCAGAACTCCTTCTCTTGCCCCTTATCTCTTCTTTATTTATCTAATTTGATACATTCAAAGGGAATGTTTCACATGAAAACACATGTATTTGTTATACTCAATACCATTACATTCCCATAGCAACATATAACTAACAGCACAGATATTTCTAGATACAGATATTGGACCTGAAGGAGCTGACGTAAAATTTGTTATATGAGTCATGTCATCCTTAATGGTGTATTTCATTAATGAAGGCTTTCTGCATGTAGAAAGCTGGCTGAATAATAGGCCATTGGACAGTGAATAGAGATTTTTGAATCTATGTTTCTTTTTCATCTTACTGTTTCCAGTAAGACTTGATGGATGGAAACGTATCTAGCAGTTAACTGTAACCTACACAGAACCACTTGGTATACAGAAAGTGATGATGGTCTGAAGTCAGGACCCTGAAACTCTTTGGAAGTAATTTTCTAAGTGTGATACCTTGAATTTATTTAATATCCAACATCGTCTTAATAAACACCAAGTGACTGGGTTGTTGTTGTTAAGTGCCACCGAGTCAGTTCCTACTCAAAGGGACCCTGCATAGGGTTTCCAAAGCTTTATATCTTTGTGGGAGCAGAAAGTCTCATCTTTTCCCCACAGAGCAACTGGTGGGTTCAAACAGCGGACTTTGTGGTTTGCAATCCAGTGCCTAGCTACAGGACTCAAATGTTGGGATTGGTAGTTATGCCATATCACTAAGTTTTGTGGTTATCCTTCACTAAGTTTTAAAAGGAGCCATGGCAGAAACAAGATCAGAGGACCATCAAGAAAGAAGAGCATGAGAAAAACAGGAACAGCAGAGGTGGTGGCAGAGGTGGTGGTATGGAGAGACAGAGCAGCTGCGGGCTTCTAGGCCCAGGGACAAAGTAAAGCTGAGTGCCTACAGGGAGGACGCTGGCTGGTAGAATGTGCCCTTTGGGTATTTACAGACTGGCTGAAGGAACTTTGTAACACTTGTGGGATCAGGGCAAAGGCTGAGGGCTCATAACTGAGAGGCTGGAGACAAGAATGAGGCATGCTTTCAGTACGGCAGAGAAGAGGTGTTTCTGACAACAACAGCTGCATCCTGAGATGTTTCTGATCCTGAATTGTACCCTGTTCACTTCTCTAATAAACCCCCATAATTGTGAGTATTGTTGTGAGTTCTGTGTGGCCACTGCAATGGATTATTGAACCCAGATGTGAAGCAGAGAGTGCTGTGAGAGGAAAGGCTGGTGTCAGAATAGGATAAAAAGATTTTAGGATAGAGGCATGTCTAATCTTTGCTTCATAGGAATCTGCCTTGGGTTAATCTTGAGTTTGATTCTCTCCTTCACTCTTGGAAACCTGAGGAAGTCAGATAAACGCTATCATCTCTTGCCCAATTCGTAACCACTACGCTACCAGAGCTCCTTTGTACTAAAAGATACTTCTTCATAAATCAGGTTTATTTTGTGAGAATGTAAGTGAACTTTCTGTTTTAGGAATGTTGCTACAATTCTGTGATATTTAATCTTGAAATCTCAGAGGATGTCATAGTTTAAACCAGATAAAATAAAAATATCATCAGGAATAGCAGTCTTGTTATATATTTTACTAAAAGGCAAGAGATTTCAGGTACACATAGAGATGTCGCTGTCGGGTTGCTTCTGACTCATATCAACCTAGTATTGGATTTCCAAGGAGCAGCTGGTGGGTTTGAACTGCCGACTGACCTTACAGTTAGCACTCCAGTACTTATCCTACAACACCCACCATTAAAACTCATTTTATATTGTAGTGAGGGTTAATTACGTGCACAAGTTTTACATTGCTGTTAGTAAGTGCCGTTGAGTCGATTTGCTGTTGTTAGGTACACAAATATGGATCCCATCCAATCAGTTGGCCAGGTACCCACCCTTCTTCCAAATGTCTTGGCAAAGATAACTGAGTGCCTCCAGTGCTGCACCATTTTGTTGAAAGATTTGATTTTGTTTTCCATTCCTCTTCAACTTGTCATTCCAGGCATAGTAAACTATGTGATTGTCAGATTTAAATGGCCGATACCAGTCCATTTCAGCTCACTAATGCTGAGGATATCGACCTTTATGTGTGC